TGTCACTTTTTCTTTTTCTTTCTTTCTTTCTTTCTTTCTTTCTTTCTTTCTTTCTTTTTTTCTTTCTTTCTTTCTTTCTATTTTGTCTCATTCTCTCTGTATCTCTCTTTCCATCATTTTGCTCTTTTTGTTTTGCCCTCCTTCTTTCTCTTACTTTTTCTGTCTGTTTTCCTCTCTTTTCCTTTTTTCTCTCATTCTACATCTCTATCGATCCTTCTGTCTCTATTTATTTTTTTGTCTCTCCCTTTCACTCTTTCTTTTGTTTGTTATTTCTCTCTCCTTCTATTTATTTCTCTCTCTCTTTCTCTCTCTTTCATTTCTTTCTCTTTCTCTCTCTCTGTCTCTCTCTTTCTCTCTCTCTCTTTCTCTCTCTCTCTCTCTCTCTCTCTCTCTCTCTCTCTCTCTCTCTCCTCTCCTAGACCCCAAACTTACTGCTTCATCATTAATTCACGACCCATCGGCTGCGCCTCCCTCTCTGGAGTAGGCCTCCATATCTGCCTGCTAGGTTATGCATATTTATACATGCATCCGCTCTGCTTCAGCACATGTCATGGTGGTGAATGTTTCTCTTTCTAATGAAGGCATTCTCATCTTTCTGTTTCTCTTCCTCCCTCGCTCCCTCGCTCTCCTCCCATGCTGCCACCGTATCTGTTTGAATTAGGGAACCCCTGAAAAACACTGCTGTTTGCACTCATGTCACAATGTGGTGGCAATATTCCAGCAGCTAACAGTGCTAAGCTAATTCCGCTCACACTTCTCCTCACCTTCGCCACCGACCTCCGCAGACACTCTGATTCTCACATGCTCTCTGCCTTGATCTGCTACAGTCCCAGAGGAGAGGAATATGTCTGTTAAATACTGGGGCTTTCGCTGGATTTATCAATGCCCTGCAAGCAAAAATAAGCTTTGATAAGGAGCAGCAAGCTAGCAAGTGTGCTGTGAGTTCTGCAGGTAGTTACTGCATACTGAAATCAGGGGATTTATTCAGTGTCTGTAGAGACAACAGTGCAGTAGATGAGAAACTGTCCTCTAAAGTCTCATATGGATTGTATATGTGTAAGTACCAGTATGCAATAATGATAAATACTATGTGTTATATGTAAGAATATATATGCAATAATATATATATATATATATATATATATATATATATATATAAGAATAATATCCCAAATATTTTATAACTAATTTTGAGTGCAACTCAAAAACGCTAGCCATATATATATAAGCGCACTTCAGTTCTGCAGCAGGACAATGATCCAAAACACACCAGCCTCTGAATGGCAGATCAACAAACAAATTTAAATATTAGACAAAGATAACACAAGAAAACACAAAATGCAGTTTATAAATGAAGATCTTTATTATTAAGGGAAAAAGAAATCCAAACCTACAGGGCCCTGTGTGAAAGTGATTGATACCTAATAACAGGTTGGGCCTAATAACTTAGCAGCAACAACTGCAATCAAGCATTTGCGATAACTGGCAGTGAGTCTTTTACAGCACTGTAGAGGAACTTAGGCCCACTCATCTTTGCAGAATTGTTGTAATTCAGCCACATCGGAGGGTTGCCGAGCATGAACCGCCTTTTTAAGGTCATGCCACAGCATCTCAATCGGATTCAGGTCAAGACTTTGACTAGGCCGCTCCAAAGTCTTACTTTTGTTTTTCTTAAGCCATTCAGAGGCTGGTGTGTTTTGGATCATTGTCCTGCTGCAGAACTGAAGTGCGCTTCAGCTTGAGGTCACGAATAGATGGCCGGACATTCTCCTTCAGGATCTTTTGGTTGACAGCAGAATTCATGGTTCCATTTACCACAGCAAGTCTTGCAGGTCCTGAAGCAGCAAAACAGACCCAGACCATCACACTACCACCACCACATTTTACTGTTGGTATGATGTTCCTTTTCTGAAATGCTGTGTTACTTCTACGCCAGATGTAATGGGACATACACCTTCCAAAAACTTCAACCTTTGTCTCTTCAGTCCACAGAGTATTCTCCCAAAAGTCTTGGGGATCATCAAGATGTTTTCTGGCAAAACTGAGACGAGCCTTTATGTTCTTTTTGCTCAGCTGTGGTTTTCGAACTCTGCCATGCAGGCCATTTTTGCCCAGTCTCTTTCTTATGGTGGAGTCATGAACCCTGATCTTAACTGAGGCAAGTGAGGCCTGCAGTTTTTTGGATGTTGTTGTGGGGTCGTTTGTGACCTCTTGGATGAGTCATCGCTGCGCTCTTGGGGTAATTTTGGTTGGCCGGCCACTCCTGTTCCATGTTTTCGCCATTTGTGGATAATGGCTCTCACTGTGTGTTGCTGGAGTCCCAAAGCTTTAGAAATTGCTTTATAACCTTTATTTCCAGACTGACAGATCTCAATTACTTTGTTTCTCATTTGTTCCTGAATTTCTTTGGATCGCAGCATAATGTCTAGCTTTTGAGGACCTTATGGTCACTTCACTTTGTCAGGCAGGTCCTATTTAAGTGATTTCTTGGTTGAGAACAGTTGTTGCAGTAATCCAGCCTGGGTGTGGCTAGGGAAATTGAACTCAGCTTTCCAAAGATGTGATAAACCACAATTAATTTATGTTTTAATGGGGGGGGGGCAATCACTTTTTCACTCAGGGCCCTGTAGGATTGGATTTCTTTTTCCCTTAATAATAAAGACCTTCATTTATATACTGCATTTTGTGTTTACTTGTGTTATCTTTGTCTAATATTTAAATTTGTTTGGTGATCTGAAACATTTAAGTGTGACAAACATGCAAAAGAATAAGGAATCAGGAAGGGGGCAAACACTGTTTCAAACCACCGTGTATATATATTATATATATATATATATATATATATATATATATATATATATGTGTGTGTGTATGTGTGTGTGTGTGTGTGTATATACACATAGATAGATAGATAGATAGATAGATAGATAGATAGATAGATAGATAGATAGATAGATGCAAATTGTCATTATAATTTAATAATATGTAATATGACAATGCAAAGTCAATGTTTTGTTTTTCTCTGTTTTTCCTACAAAGTCAGGCCATCTGTGTCCTGAAAATGTACAAAAACTAATAGCCACACTCAATCACACACACACATATGTCTGTTAAGGCGTGTACTCATGCCATCCAAGCAGACAGTGAAAGTGTGAAAGTGTTTTTAGGGCAAATAATTACAGATAGCAGTCAGGGGTGTTAACGAGAATTATGCCTGTTCTCCACTGCTTTCTTCAGACAAAGAAACAGCTTCTACAGAGCATCTCAGTCTGAGCATGGAAGCGTAAAACCCGATTCTTAAAATGAAACAGCAATCCAGCCTCCTCGATTTCCTTCCTCAGTCCTTTAAAACAGAGCACTGATGTTCCAATCCCATTCTGGTTCCAGCTAATTAACCACCAAGCTGCAAAACATCAAACATGATAAATGTCCATCTTGTCCTATATCTTTTATTATTAGTTGTCTATTTGGAGAAGAATTGTATTTATATGACTTCATCATGTACAGGTTCAAAAATGCACAAGCTGACAGCGCTGCTGGGAAAAAACATTTTCTTTAACATGACTGTTGGTAGAAGCCTGATCAGCTGAAAGCACATTGGAAAAAAATATGTCCTGCAAATAAGGATGATGTTCTGTGGCAAATAAAGAGTGCTGCGAACCAGCGAGCAGCTTGTGGCGCTGTATAAATAACTGTGAGATTTACAGCATGATTAGAGGGAATTCTGTACATTTATGGAAACACACAAGCCAATCTTTGAGATATTGCCATTTTCCATGATGGTCCATAGTACCTGTCACTCATATATATTAGCTTTCGTATGATGTCATTTAAACCAAGATGTTCACGGACATTAAAGGCTCTCCATGGTAAATACTGTTTTATTAGCAATAATGGTCTGAAATCTCAAAAATAAACAAACCATCTACCGTTCAGCCTCGGTAATTTAAACATGAGCTCAAGACTGGCTTCCACCACCCTCTCATTTTGGAGAAGCTGGAAATATGACTTTTATTGAGTCACTCTGGATGTCTGGAACATGGACATAGATGTTTTAAAGAGGAACACTGCCATGCAGTTAATTAATAAATAAATGTGATTTTATATGGAAGGTTTGCGTTAAATGAATTAACATCTGCTTTGCTTTTTGCGTGGTCACTTTGCGAAATGAAAGAAAAGGCGAATTAACAAAATCAACAGGGCGGCTCTCAGTGGCACGAAGCGCTTTTGTTCGCAGCTAATTATTCCGCAGGAATGTATTAAAGATTACTCAGGATACGCAGGAACAAATCCTTTAAATGGGCTGCGCATTGTTCCTGCACAATCACCGTCATTTCAGATATGGCTGCGGTAGACCTTGTGAAATTACTCGGTCCTATTGTTCCAGGTTCATATTACCCTCAAGAGACATCACTCTACTACCAGACCCTGATGGAAAAGCCTATACCAACTCTCTCTCCCTCTCTCTTTCTCCCTCTCTCTCTCTCTTTAACGTTCTATCTGCAAAATGAGTGTAATTACCAATAGTGATTGGTCATAAACTGATGTGTTCCTTTGTTCAGGAAACATTTCATTACTGGGTTGCGATGGAGACTTTTAAATTGAAGTGCTCTTCCCAATCACATCAAAGTAAATGCGTGTGGTGGGCCTGGCTCGTCATTTGTGTGAAGTCTGAGTTTTATCCTGATTGAAGTTTTATCCTTTGTGATTTATGGGGTCATGTTTTTGCCCCCCTTTCAGTGTATTTTACATTCTCTGAGAGGAGCATCTGCCCAGCCAGTTGTAAATTGAAAACAGGCCTTTGAAAAGCAGGCACAACAGAGGTAGATCTGATCATCATGTCTTTTGAGTTCCACAGACAAGTCCCTGATGAGCACATGCTGACTGCTGACTAAAGCTTTTGTATTTCCTCTGTGCAGAAACACAAAGGTCAGCGACATGGACTGGCCGCATGTAGAGACAGTAACTGATAACCCGAGAGGTCAGATACCCCAGTGAAACATCAACCATGGACCAGAAACTCTTTCTTCACATAAATCCCTGATAAGCACTTTTCATGACAGTGATTAGCACCACAAGCTCACAGAGGGAGGCTTTTAGAATAACTGTCCTTCATTCTAGATTAAAGAAGGTGGACAATTAATTCTGTCATTCACTCAAACATTTAAGGAATATCTGCTTCATTCATTCATTAAACTGAATATGTGAAGGAAGGAAGAAAGAAAAGAAGAAATGTAAGCAAATATTTCTTAATTTCTTAAATGAACGAGTGAGTGAGTGAATGAATGGACAAATGTAAGCATGAGTGAGTGAGTGAGTGAGTGAATCTAAACAGATATTTCCTCATTCATTAAATGAAAGAATTAATTAATTAAAGGATCCATATCTCACATTTTTTTCTTCTATTTATTTTCCCCCCTGAGGTCTATTTATAACGTTAGTGCGGCTTTATGTACCAATAACAGTCATAATTCATTTTTACATGACCATTTTCCATCGCTTAGAATGAAACAGGCTGTTTTTGTTATTGCACCCTAAAGATTGATACATGTAAATAAGCTCTGTTCTGATTGGCTGTCCTGTATTGTGCTTCATTCAAAAAGCAGTCTGAGCTGAAATACTCCTTATAATTTCAGTGTGAATTGGTGGAGCTACTGTATCCTGAATAAGCAGATATGTGTAAATGTGCTCGTTTTTATGACATCACAGAAACAATGAATTCAGTTCAGTGGTCCTTATTCACCAATCTCTTCCTAAGGTTTTTTTTTTTTAATGTGTTCTTGAGTAAGGTCCTAAGAAAAAGTCTACATCAGATTCATAACGTGTTCTTAAACCACAGAACTGTTCACACCTTTGTTCGCTTTGTGCTGATTCTGTTCTTACATAAGAACAAATCTTATATAAGAAAACATTGCTGAATGTCAATCTTCATAAAAACTGAATGAGTGGGTTTTAAGAAGAAAATTCTTAAGAATGACTGTGAATGAGGCTCAGTGTTTTCACAGCTTAATTCTCATATATGGGCTGTATGACTGGGGAGTAAATGATATGTTTTAGCACATTTTTTAAAAATTTAGCAATGTTTTTGTAGTACAAGAAAGAAGAAGATTGAATGAATGGATGAAAGAAAGAAAGAAAGAAAGAAAGAAAAAGAAAGAAAGAAAGAAAGCAGACATTTCTTCATTCATTAAACAAGTAAGTGAATGAATTTGACTCCCTCTCTGTCTTCAAACACCAAATGAATCTCTTTGCAGATTAACACTAATCTAGCACTAATTGAAATGTGTTTTATTGCACTTATGTTATGTCTTATGTTTGTATTTTATATCTTTCTTTCTAGGTATCAGCACTAGTTTTTCTGGCAGTGTCTGAGCTCAGTGGTAGTTTGGACTCCAATCTATATGTTCTAGCTAGGATATATTCTCAGAGTAGTCAACATAGCACTTTTGCAAGTTGCTCTGGATAAAAGCATCTGTTAAATGCTGTAAATGTAAACATGTTCATTCGTTAATTGCAGCAATATTTCTTAATTCATTGAATGAATGAATGAATGAATGAATGAATTGAGACTATTATAAATAGTGTTGATGTAAACAAACAAACATGTACATCTAGTATTCTTAGATCTGTGAGAATAAAAAAGTATGTGGGTGACTTTATTGTAATTATTAAACAGTACAGTGAACAGCTAATTGGGTGGTGAGGTTGTTGTTGCTGTTGTTGGTTTGGTTTTGTACTTCAGCGCAGTGGGATTTAAAATGAAGCCTATGAGCTTATTGTGTGGACAGACAGCTTTAATTCAGAGGTATTTACATCTCATTGCTGTCCAAAGGAAACCATGTATCTCCATTTTTGTTGATCTTTATTTTTCTACATCATTTCAACACACCTGTAGTCTTTTACGTTGTATGAAAATGTCATCATGAATGGACCAATAGAAATGTTCTAAAATCACGAGAAATAAAACCTCTTTACATTAACTTACACTGAAAGGTAAGAGTGTTTTGCCTTCTTCTGTAAAGTTACTATTTTGTAGATACTTGGGGTTTTTTTTGTTGGACAGCGACGCTCTGTATCATTGGTTGAACCATATAGAAGTCACAGTCCTTTTTAAACACAGTCCACATATTTTAGAAGACTAAGTGGGAAATAGCATCATTTTTAATAAAATGTGTTTGTAATGTTTTGTACTTTGTTGAAAATCTAGTCGATCGCTGTACTGTGTGTGATTACTACAGGAATCTCAGTCCAGGGAGCGCAGACTGACCCTGTCTGTCCACTCGAGCAGAACTCCACCTGCAGGAGGAACCTCTCTCTCTCTCTCTCTCTCTCTCTCCCTCTCTCTCTCCCTCCCTCCCTCTCCCTCTCTCTCTCTGCTGGCGGTGTGGAGAAGTTGAGCTGTTACTCTACCGTCTGTCGCTTAAGGAGAGTATAAAACTAAAAACCAGCTCGGGGTGCTGATGATTTGGGCTGTAAGTACGCAAACAATGTGCATTTACAGGTTCAGACACGCACGCGCTCCGCTGCTGTCTGGACTGAGATGCCGTCCACTTCATTGATTTGTCAGTCCCAGCTCACTGCTCGGCAGACAGTTAGCAAATGCAAGGCTGAACACCGACCAGCGCCACATTATCCCTCCTCCTCTATCCAGCCTGCTGAACAGCAGCAACTGCAGCATTTTACAGAAAATCGGCTACGACTTTTTAACGTCATGTCACGTGGAAATAGTTAAAATAACTGTTTACGATTCGCTCGGATTGTGAGTCCTCATTTAATACACACTACCATCCCGTTCAACATCGCAGAGTCATTAGAGAAGCGCAACAGACGAGCGTCCGTTTTTTCCCCACCCGCATTCCAACCAGACACGCCCCCCGCGCTGCCATTGGCTGGCCTTATCAAGCTTGCTGAGCTGTGATTGGCTAGTCGTAATCCCTCCCATTGGGCGGACTGTTTCTCAGAATGAACTACTAGCCAACCCCAGCGCATGCGGGATTACGGTTAGCCAATTATAGCATAAGTGGGCGTGACCTGTTGTATTACAGGTGGGGCGAGACAGCCTAGCTACAGACAACAGATGTGAATCTCATTCTCACAACTCACTTGTAGAAAAAGCCTGATTGCAATAATAATAATAATAATAATAGCAGCAAGTGTTGGTCGTGTCCAATTCTAGCATCTTCATACCAGTGAGGACGCTAATATTCTTATATTTGTCTCAGTCAGCAGTGAACTGATCTCTCTCTCTCTCTCTCTCTCTCTCTCTCTCTCTCTGAGCTGGGCTGGGCTGGGCAGAGCCCACCGACCCTCCACTGATGGATGTGTACGAAGTTGATAAAGACTGAGTGGTCGTGGGAAGAGACACCTGGCACTGCTCAGTCTGATGCTGGAGCAGCGCGTGCTCTCGCGGAAGAGCGCCACTCAGCACGCGGAGCGCTGTGGATTATACAGCCTTCATCACAGAGGCAGCAGAACCTCCTCACTGGATTTATTCTCTGGATTTAGAAGGCAAGTGTGGAGTGATTTACTGGCACTTTGTTGTGGACATAATTCAGCGGTGAGCGCTGATGAATGTTTTTGTGGCGTCCAGCAGCTTCGCGTTCACATGCAGTGATGTGATGGGGTGAAAGTGCAGGAGGGACGTAGCGAGGAGGGAAACGTGCTCGCGCGTCGATTAATCTAATCGAGTCTGAATAGCTGTATCCCGAGTCTGAGATGTGCTCCTGACGCGTCGCCTTTACGACTAACCGTCAATGCAAACGCACGTGATACGTTAGCTTTAAAACTGCAGCCAAACAATCTGCTGTCTGCACGCGTTTCAACAGTAGCTCCCTCTCGCGCTTTCAATACAGAACCTCTTTTAAACGAGGCAGAAACTCCCGGACACTCCGGACACGCTGCTCACTCCGTCACCCTCACACTGACCAGCGCTCACCGCCGCTTCTACACACACAAACACGAGCGGTGCGCTGCTCCTCACAGCCTCTGCTGCCCGGGCTCGGCCGCGCAGTCGGCGGTGTGTCACTCTCTCCTCACTGTTTGCGTGTAATCCGACCATCACTGCGTTAAAAAGTCTTCGGCCGAGCCGGAGGGATTAGCTTTCATAGCTGGCAGCGAAATTTCTCTCGCACGCGCGGTGGTCAAGACTGTTGGCACGAAAACAGCGTCGAGAGAGAGAGAGAGAGAGAGAGAGAGAGAGAGAGAGAGAGAGAGAAGATGGAAATAGTGATAAACGGAGGCAGAAGCGAACAGATGGAAAGAGGAGAAGAGGAGATAAACAGAGGGAACTGAGAGAGAGAGAGAGAGAGAGAGAGAGAGACAGAAAGATATGGGAAAGAGTGAGAGGGACACGAGGGAAAGTGATAGAGAGGCCAGAAGAACAAGTAGAGAGAGAGAGAGAGAGAGAAGAAACAGAAAGAGAAGCGAGGTAAGCGGAGAGCGAGTGAGTGTTTGTGAGAGAGTAAGAAAGAGAGAGAGGGAGAGAGAGACATATAAGCGAATGAAAAGGAAAGGAGGATATAAACAGAAAGAACTGGGGAGAGAGAGAAAAAGCGAAAAAAGCAAGAGAGAGAAGGAGGAGAAAGAAGGAAAAGAGAGAGAGAGAGAGAGAGGAAGGAAAGTGATAGAGAGAGGACAGAAGAACAAGAGAGAGAGAGAGAAGAAACATAAAAAGAAGCGAGGTAACGGAGAGCGAGTGTGTGTGTGTGTGTGTGTGTGTGTGAAAGAGAGAGAGAGAGAGAGAGAGAGAGAGAGGGTCTGTAGTGAGAGTGTAATGGGGCTGGGGCTGGGTGTGAGTGAGTGCAGTAGTTTTGTTGGGGGGGTCTGGTTTTGTTTGGGGGGGGGTCTCTCTGTTTAAGTCTCCGCTCTCTGCTGAATTTTCACTACATCTCTGTCTGTCTCTGTCTCTGCTGCCGCACCGCGAGTCTTAAACAGCGCTCACTCTCTCACACACTCATTCTCCAACAGGAGCGCGGTGGAGCTTCATCTCCCTCCTGCTCTCTCACACTCCCCCTCTCTCTCTCACTCTGTCTCTCTCTCTGGTTCTACTGTGGAGGATTAAACGGAGTCGGATCGAGACTTATTTTGTTTTATCTGTGTGTGTTTGTGTGTGTGTTTATTTCCTCACCAGGCTGTGTGAGTGCGTGTGTGTGAGTGTGTATGTGTGTGTGAGGGACATGGCAGCCCCGACGCTGGAGAGAGGAGCTCGGCTGGATGGAGCGAAGGCAGAGAGGAGCTGAACGGCAGGATGAGAAAGAAATGAGAGAAACCTGAAACACACGCACGCGCTGCGCTCATACTCACGACCCCTGTGGAAAGGGGAGTTTTTATTTTTGTAATTTTTTTTTTTACTCTTTTTTGGTCTCGTCTAAAACGGCGAAGAGTGAAGAGGAATATTTACCACTGGGAGATTTTTGTTTTTGTTTTTTTCGTTTTTGGGGACAGTGTTTGGTCCAGCTCTGACTCGCCGTAAGCGAACCGAGGATGCGTTGTTGTGGATTAGCGCTGGTGCTCTTACCGGGAGTCTTGGTGATCGTGAGGGCTTTCAAAAACGGTGAGTACGCTGCACACTTCTCCCTTCAGAGCATCTACAGCGGGCGGGTAAGGGGGATTATTAAGAAAGGGGAAGCTCGAATTTCTCGTTCCACCTTAAACGCTATGGGCGCCAGAATGTAACTGCTGTACTATTTAAGGTGGAATGGACAATTCGAATGAGACACTGGAGAATAAGACACTAATAGTAGGAGAAAGTCCGTGTTCAGGCTCAGGCCAGCTCTGACCACCTGCTCGACCACAGACAGACAGAGAAATACAGCGCCGGGCTGACACTGTGGGTTTAATGTCATAAAGTATGTCCTATATTTCTCATCTGTGATAAACTCGGAGGCTTAAAATGTTAGCACGTGTTTTAAAAAGTGCTAGTTGTCAGACTGACTAGCTTAAAAAAACAGTAAAAAACATTCTCAAACCACTAGACCTGCTTTTTTAACACCCACACAACAGCTTTTCATTTGTAAACGTTATTCATGAGGTTGTATTTGCTCGCTTCTCCGTAAAACGCACGCGCTGCTTTTAAAAGTGGGATTTTATTAGTTAAAAATGATCGTTTTCCCGCGCTTACATGAGCGGAGCTGGTTCTGCTGAGTGGATTTATCTTCTAACTTTATTCTTCACATTAGGGTTAAAATGTAGATATTGTTGAGGACGCTTACTGTGCAAAACGGAAATGAAAAAAGTTCAGTGAGGTGAATGTAGAAGTGAAATCAGGCAGAGAAACGTGCTGTTTTAGTTTTTAGTATTGTTAATAAATAATTTAACAAACCGAAGCTCTCTATCAATAACAGGTAAATATTCACCTCGCATGTTAGAAAAAAAACAAAAAAAATAAACAATGGTATATGATTATAAAATTCTGGATCGAGTGAAGAGCCAGTGTGAACTGGTGATGAGATTTTTTGAATGTTTTTTATTGTTTAGAGTGTAAACCTGTCTGTCCGCCCTCACAAACTCTCTGATTAAGTTCGAGGGGTCTGTGCGAGTTCAGAAATAAAGGTCCTAAACTATCACTGGGGCAGTACCCCTCTGGTCACTGGGGTGGTACCATCAAGGGTACATCTCAGTACCTTTAGTCAGGAAACATAACTGAAATTATATTTTCTAAGTTGTACTGACTCCACATGCCCCGTCTCATCTCCAGGCTTTTTATTTTATTGTTGTGTTTTAAAACATTAGGTTATGAAAAGATACAAATATGAACTTTTCCATTGGGAGAACCTATTTAAGGTTCACAACTGAAACTTAAAACCGCTGTCGTATGTTTGAAGGCACATTTACATTATTTGTGCTATGGTGAACAAAAAAAGTACCCGCACAGAACCTTTATTGTACAGTGTAGTACTGTAGTTGAAGGTGCTCTGGGCTCGATTAACCCTGATCCTGTAAGAAATGTGAGAAATAAAAAAAGAATTACGCTTCATCATGATGTATAAACAGCGCCCTGATTATAGAACTAATAATATACAAAAATCGACATCGAGTCCCAAAAGAAAGGAAAAGACGCGCGAGCCAAAAGTCACTCTTTGTAAAACTTCTAGCGCGTGGACTGTAACTTCCCCAACTTTTTTTTATTCGTCTGACTAACTGTACGCGCGAGCCAGCCTCTAAATAGGGAGAGTTTTGTTATATTTTCCCCCACGTGCTCTCTCACCAGCTCCCATTTGTTCCGTGTGTGTGTGTGTGTGTGTCGCGTGCGCTGTCACTGCAGATAAATGTGGCGAGAACATCAGGATCACGAGCGCCAACTACCTGACCTCCCCCGGCTACCCAGTCTCATACTACCCTTCGCAGAAGTGTGTGTGGGTGATCACGGCGCCGGGAGCCCACCAGCGGATCCTCATCAACTTCAACCCTCACTTCGACCTGGAGGACCGCGAGTGCAAGTGAGTTGCCGTTCCCGCGTGCACGAGCGCCTCCTAGCGCACCAACGCTGAAACCCTCCGTTCAGCCGGGCTCGGGCCACAGTCGTGCTTCATGGTGCTTGGCTCTTAGTATTAACCCGGATTTAGGACGAGGTGTTGAATGAGTGCGTTCACTTTTTACTGTTAATATGCACTTTTAGGTGCCATTAGGTCAGCTGTGGAAAAGCTGCTTGAAAAGAGGTTTTGAGCTTGGCAGATACAGACTAGTCGATTTCTGGAATGACACTGTGATTCAGGAGTTGACCTGTTGTGCAGTTTGGTGTGGGGTGGATTATCTGAACACTATCTGTAATGTGAGTTGATGCATCTCTCGCTCTCTCTTTCTCTCTCTCTCTCTCTCTCTCTCTCTCTCTCTCTCTCTCTCTTTCTCTGCTCTGGCCCGTCTGCTTCCTTTGTTTGTGCCAGAGGGTCTGGAGAATGTTGTCGGTGGACTGTCGCCGTGTGCATGTCTCTGTTACACTATCCTCTCCACCCAGATAGTCTTCCGCCCCGAGCCCTTTTGTGTTCACAGAAAGTCTCGTATTAGTGGCTCCGTTTATCAGGATCTTTACCTCTTTACAGCCCTGTAAACCCACTGAGATTTACAGCTTCAGATGACCCAGTGCTGTCTGCACAAAAGGGGTCAGTTTCTTCTGGAGGCTCAGGTTTCTCTACCCAGAGACTAACCCCCCCCACCACCCCACCATTCCCTCACACAGTCTTCAAATGGGAGCTACTCATGTAGATTGAGTAGATGTGGATGGACACATGGTGAGCACACCGTGCTTGGCCCCTAATGAAATTATCTAGGAACGAGTTTCCTCTGTTTAAAAATGCTGAGTGAAAGAATTAGTGCCCGAGGCTGTAAGCAGAAAAAGAAATACATTCCCCAGCTCAGTTTGGGGGAAATAAGGCATCTTTTTTTCGCAGTTTAACACAATGCCTTAAGCCATTTCAGGCCGTTCGCTGCAAACCATTGCATGAATTTGTACATTTCCTGTGTTACCAAATGTGATACTTTTCTATATCCTGGCTTAAAATGGGTGCGCATTATTTTGTTTATTGCTCCTTCATTTGTCAGTGGATATTGAAGATATTACTTTACATGCCCCACTGCCAAGTACCCTTATTATGCTTGGAGGTAGGCCAGCGTGCAATTTGCCCGTTTGAGCGGTCACGGATTGTAAACCACAGTATTAAAGGATATTCTAACAGCTAACCTGAAAAGACATTTGTGAAATCTAATCAGCTCACCGCAGTGCCCAAAACTTGCCCTGACCATGATTTTCAGTGAAGAAGAGGAGAATTCGAACCCCTGGCTATTCTAGAGCACCTTCTGCCGTCCTCAAACAATCTGAGGTTTACATTTCAATCTCAAGGCGAGACCAAAATATAATTGTGTTTCAGTTCCTCTTGATAATCTTTCCTCCTTAAGCCGTCATTTGTAGTAGCTGTGGAGGACCGACATAAGCTTTGAATTTGCTTCATTTTTCCCCTCTTTGTGACTGGTGCAAACTTAGCAGAGGCACAGGCGGAGATATATGTTTTCTGCTAATTTGATTTAGAGTGGAGATGGACATCTGTTTGGAGGGTCTGGTGTCTGCAGATTAGGGAGTGTTTTCTCAACTCTTGCTGGACACACATTAAGGGCCCTTGCATGATGGAAACTGTTGATGTCCGAAATGGCCTCCTTATCAGATGGAAGCTACAGAGGCCGCTTCAGTGAGCCACTGGCAATCTAATTAGCAGCAAATGGAGCACACATGTTCTCCATGTTCCTGACATGTCCGCTATCAACAAAGCAAACAAGAAGCTGCTGGTGGAAAAAAGCCACTGCTTTATAATGTGTGCATTGGTAAGAAATATGAGACTAAGAGAGAAAGAGGAGAAATAGAAGAAGAAAGAGCGTGAACTCCATGACTAGATAAGGCCCTAAGTGGTTTTCAAGGATGGGCTTTTTTGGACTGTGTTTGCATTTCTCGTCTTTTCTAAAGGCTTTCAGGTTGCACGCCCATGAAGTCTTAGGAGAAAGCTGACCCTGTCAAGACAAATATTTGAACTAGAGTCCTTTCACTGCCTCCCACACTTCTACCAGGGCGAGCAGGTTTCTTCTGAGTTGCTTCTAGGAGCTCTGCGTGTGTTCAGCTCTCCCTCTTCTGAGAGTTGTCTGCTGGAGAAGTCTATAAACACGCACACTCATATGCTTGTGAGCGTCTGTACATTGCTAAAACTGCTAAAACTTTGTTTTCCCCCCAGAAGGGCCTAGTTTGAATGCAAACAGTAGAACAGCGCTAGCTTGAGCGTTCAGAGAATATGGGAGACAGCTTTGCTGCTTCTGTCAGATCGAGGCGTTCGGTGTTGGACTCAGAAATACCTCTTGGCACACGCAGCGCGTCTCTTAAAGCTGGCTGAGTTTCTCTAAGGCTCTGCGCTTGGCATGCTGTGTGGTTGTAGTTTCTTTTTTGCGTATGCTGTGTCAAAGCAGCATTCTGCAAGATAGGAGATCCCCTCTGACAGCGTCATGAATCATTGATGCTTTCAGATTTGCTGACCAAACACAAACATAACACGTTCTTTTCAGACTGTTAGATACCTGCTTTCAAAGGAGTACTCCAGCATTCTTTAACCTAATCTCTGAATGCTGCAACTGGAGCATCTGGTCAGTTACCATGAACAATAGTTTTGATATGTCTACTATACTTATTATAAGAACAGAAAACCCTCTGACTGGAAACATGGATAATAATAGAAGTCAATGGGCAGGTGCTTATCTGCTGCCTTCTATGACGAGTGACTTTCCAAGGGCCCAAATCCAAGTAGGTCCACTTTAGATGACTGTGTGAGGTTGGTTAGGTTACTGTGCCTTTATGACTTTATTGTGCTTCACTCATAAAACAGTCTGAAACAGTCTGTAGGTTGAATAGGTAGATTATATGTAAATTTGCTGTATTCTTTGACATCACAAAGTCAGTTCAAAACAATGCTTTTGCAGCATGATTTCCATAAATAGGCTGTATGCACTGGGAAGTGAATGAGATGTTTTTAAAACTTTAATAATGTTTCCATACTACATCAAACTCTTATATTAAAAAAGAAGTCATGAAAGTTAGGTTTTCCATGAAATGGGCCCTTTAAGTCAACAGGTTTATTTTCAGAACATTACTGTCTGTGGAAGTCAACTGTATGCTACAGAAATCAGGTTAAACAACTCTGGGAAACAGTAAAGAAAGAAATGGGGTGAAAATTCTGTTCTTCAGAGCTCGATTCATTTGGTTGTTTGCTCGTCTGAGAACACAGAACTGTCAACAGAGCTTTCAGTTGTGTATGTCTGTGGGAGAGAGAGTGTAGTTTGCAGCAGTAATATTCAGGGAATGCATGGTTAAGAAAAGCCCATTGTAGGCCTGGGAGAAGTCATCAAATGCTGCTGGGCCTCTCAGTGTTTCAGAAGTGCTCGAGCCCCCTGTGGCTCAGCAGAAACCCTAGGCCTCAGAGTGCAGCCTCTCCCCTGTCCCCAAGACTCTGCCTCCTCGCTGTCCCGCTGGCTTGGCCTGCAGAGCAGCACACACCCCGCTGGGAAAGCAAACACTCTCCTCTGGGCTAACGCACAATGCACATCCTGTAACAGGGTTGGAGCGCTGTAGTGGAGGAGTGGAGGCTGGAGGTGCAGCTGGTAAGCAGAGGAGCTGCTCTTACTATAGTGCAGCTTTGATTTACGCAGGCCTGGTAAATGTAGACTGAGCACGCTGAATGAGATTCAGGCCACAGGTTGCTGTTTTATTCAGCTGTAGGGTAAAGACCCCCTGCTATGGATCTGAATCAGCTGTTAAGAGAGTATTTGAGGGTTTAGTTTGCATGCATGTGTATCTGTGTGTGTGTGTGTGTGTGTGTGTGTGTGTGTGTGTGTGTGTTGTTATGCATGTTAAAGACAAAGATGGTAGTTCTGCAACCAAAGAAAAATAGGGGTAACCGACCAATAACCAACAAAATGGTCCTGAATTTGTAAAGTCCTTATTATTAGTCAAAGTCTCTATTACATATAATACATATAGAACATATTAGTATGTATAGATATATATACCTTGCTAATACATATAGGACATATGTATGTAAATACGTATGTGTGTCTGAACAAGAAGAGAGGTGTAAGTGATAAGTATTTCCTTTGGTGTCCCATAGCACTTTAAACCCCAAGGTAGATTCTTTATGCACTGTTTGTGTGAGCTCCTACAGAGCAGGGGGCCTATGTGTCTCTTCTCCCCCACTGAGTGGCACCAAGGCTGAGGAGTGCCGTAAAACTCTGTGACCCCCTGGATAAGGGGTTAACTTTATTAATTCGGTCAAAAAGTATTGAGATATTGATTTCTATCACTAGTGCCCCGCACTACTCACAGCACATAATGAAAATATGTGTGATTATTTTAAAGGGATCATTTACATTTTTAGCCCTTGGTGCTATCAGTATTGCAAAGGCCAATTTCAAGATAATGATTAACAAACAATATATCACGCACCTTCTGCTTTCCCCTCTCATGCCCTTCAGCAGCCCCGGCAAACATGGAGAAAGCCGGACGGCATGCTCGTTCATCAGCCGTTGTCATGGAGGGTGGACATAAAGAAGGGAGGAATGCAGTGCACCTCTTTCATCTGGCGCTGACGGGGCTTTTTAAAAACAGGGAATGCTCTGACCTCGGGGCCCGCGGAGGAGGACTGGACTGACACAGACTGTTCCGGATACTTATAGCCCTGTGTTAGTGAACATAAGCTCTGTGTCTGCTTATGCGAAAGTGTCAGAGAAGCCTTTGGCAGGCTGAGAGATCAAACACAGTGGCATGACTGGCCAGCCTGTTCCACAGCGGCTGGCAGGGCCAGTGGAGCGGCTTCTGTCCTGTTTAACAGGTCTAAAACAGGTGCAGTGGCTGAATGTGGCCTCCCGAAGAACGGCCAGAGTTGTTTGTTCCGATAACAGGCAGCGCGCGGCGTGA